CTTCGCTGCTCCCGCATGCTGCCACGAAAATTGAGGCGCTATCTGGTCTGTGGCCGCCACACGATGATCTGGCCACCGGATTTTGATGCTAATTCTCACAAGCGAGCAAGCAAAACCAGCATTGAGCACCTGACACGATAGATAGTCTTGATACCATTATTAAGACAATTTGAGCCCGTAATTCGTGCTGAACTAGCGCACTCCGACATAGCTGACAGCGATCATGAGTCATGCAGAGAGAGGCATGCGATGGTCCTTGCACCTGCTTTCATCTCCTCTCCCCATACCGCCCATCACAAGCCCCAAAATCTACGATGAATCCCCATGTACAGCTGAACAACAGCTCGTTACTGGCGTGCTTGCTTTTGCACACACCGGGTCCGCAGTCTTCCGCACCCCCCTAGATGCTTTTGCACGTGCTACAGCTGCGTGACCCACCGTGCTGTGTGCCTTTGAATACCTTGTGGGTGTTGGTGGAACTCAGACCTGCCAGCAGTTTTGGGGCAGATTATTGCCCGTCAACTGTAGCCAGCCTTTCAAGACAAGGAAACCATGTACTGGCGGGTATGACTTCTGGCGGGACATTTTGCAGCCACTGCCCCAACATGCTCCCTGCTGTTCCTGGAGTACGACTGGGAGTTTTTTTTGGCAAGGCAAAGCCCCACAATAGGGACAAGCAGTTGCTGGCTGTTGTAAGCTAAGCTTGGGGCTTGGATGTTCACAAGCTCCCTTTTTTGGTCCAGGCGGGAGGGTCTCGATGGGATGCGCTAGTCTGCAATATTGTCATTGCTACATTTACTCGTATGTCCCCTGTGAAAGTACACAGGTCCTGGCCATTGTAGACACCGTCAACCTTCCCTGTAACGACTGCGAGGGCAGGGACATGGGGGCGAAGCAGACGCAACCCTCGAGTGAGACAAAGCAGCATGCGTTTGGAGTTGCGTTGGGAAGTTGGCTCACACAACCCCATGGGCTTGGGGAGAGGTCCCCAAATTTGGACTGTTTAATGGAAGAGGTGTGTAGAGTTGCCCAGAAGCAATAAGGTCTGCTAAGAAGTGCCCCTCCCATCGTTTCATGACACAACCTGCTTACGAAAGGATGCAGGAATCTTGACAAGAGAGATCTCAAAAGAGAGCGCGCTCTGCGTGCTTTCGAGCATGGTATTCCCGCATCGGCGGCCACAAGTCTTTGATGCGCGGGCCTTTGACAAGAAGCCTTTCACTGATTCAAAGCCATGAATTCCGACGCATTCAAACTATGCGGTTACTTGGTTACCTGAACGTAATTACTGCCGTTTCTATGCAGTAGCCCCTCGTCCAAATCGTCAGCCTACGAAAATGTAAGCTGTAAACACCCGAGTTAGAGCGCATGAGTACTCTAGCATCCGGTGACAGCCATGAACAGCATGAAGGCAGTAGAGGCAGCATCAGACAGTATGAGCATACTGGAAGTGTGGTAGCAGCTATGGTGGTTGTCGTAGTCGAAAGGGAACGTTGTACTGTTCTACTAGCGCAGGGCTTTGGGCCATAGGTCTGCGTGCGGCCGCGCTGTGCACGTACTCTGCGTGCAAGGCAGTTGAGCTGGCAGAATGAAGACGTCACGAAGAACAATCACACAAACAACAGCACTGGTCAAAGATTTCGGATGATATAATAAGAGCTATCTCAGCAAGATCAAAACCGAAACGTGGACTAGGCTGGACACGGCACGTGACAACGTTTTGACAGCTTAAGCAGAAGTATCAGACCAGAGATCAGAATTGTCACATGCATTAGTGCTATACATCGTCGCAGACTCTTCAGAGCAGCAGGTAGAGCAGCAGACAGGTCAGAAAGGTGCCAGTGAAAGATAGACCAAAACCCCGCCTCAAGAACGCCGAGAGACCGTGACCAGCTCAACCTAATCTGGATTTTCATGCACGCCGCCATCCCTACCATTGCTGTGCTCATGGCCCCAAATCCGCACGAGCCTCGCAAAGCTACTGAAAGTACTACAGCCTGATGCAGCCCTTGTTCTTACATTCTAACTGGTGGCCTTTTCGCTGCCTGTCACAACACTTCCGGCATGGCTGATGCTGGCTTTGCGATGGAAGCACTTCAGTGGCTGAATCCTAGGTTTTCCGGGCCTCGGCAGCGCTGTGCAGTTGCAGAAAGGGAAGGATTTGGGCGTGCGCGATGATCTCTAGTGTGCCCTTATAGCTCTTCACCAGAGAGCGGAGTTGGGACAACTTGACGACAAACCATCAGGCTTCCATGTCCAGGTCTACAGACAAAAAAGCATGCGAGCCCCAAAGACAGGTGCATATTCAATTACTCAGAAATCGTCGCTAAGCCAATTCCTTAAGCTGACGACGCTCATATGTCCCAATTCTCGCAGACCTGGTGAGGGGAACAAGACGCCATAGTTCGCCTGTCGAACGACTTGCAGGCGCCACTTTGAGAGCAAAAAGGGCGAACCTTGTCGAACCACCTTCAGGAGCAGACTGGTAGGGAGTTAGGGTGTAGGGTTTAGGGATGCTGCGTCGCCTGGAAGATGCAGGCATGGGTCAGAACTCAGAATACGCTTGTACTTGTGCGTGAAGTAGCAGTACATCCAGAATGCAACTGCAAGAGAGCAGGTGACATGCAAGAGGACGATATGATCCTTATCATGATGGGAATGGCGGTGTTTTTGATGGTTAGAGACAGAGAGAAAGTGGTGAACTATAGAAACTATGACCATGATCACATGTAGCCGCAGGGGCATGGGACATTAAGCCAAAAACTGTGACAGCAGCAGTACCAGTAAGAAGTAATAGCAATATTGCTGGTGATGAAATGAGTAAAAGCCTGGGTAACTTCGTATGCAAGCCTGGATCTTGGCATAACCACAGTTGTAGGCACAATTACATTGTCTAAACTCTTTAAAGGTGGTTTGCATAGCGGATTTTATAGGGGGGTACTATAGGGGTTACTAAGGGGGATACTAGGAGTATATAGACTACGGCTCATATTGGTAACAGTAATGGTGCACTCCTGTGAGGGCAGGGTTTGCACCCAGGTGGGCACTCGCGAAAGTCCTCCGGCCAAAGGCACTGACTGCGGGTTTTTTCAGGTAAGTCCGCATGTGCCAGAGCAATACATGAGGCCATAAATAGATTCGGTGGATACTAAGAATCTTGCATGACCCTCAGGAGCTAATCCCTTGGGACTGACAGTATTATAATGTATTATGGAAAAATTACTGGGGTCATGCAGAGTTTTTAGTATCAACAGTACCGGCCCGGTAAATATCAATCCTGCTTGTAGGCTGGAGTAGAGGAATCACCTTCCGTAGTAACAACCACGACGCCCCCCTCTCCGTAACAATAGTAGGTTTTTAGGGTCTATGTCTAGGGTTTAGTTTAGGGTCTAGGTGGCCTTAATCTATAGGAGGGGGGGGGGGTGGTAGGGCGGATTTTATCATTGGGAAAGGATGAATCTGTGAGTTGGCCACGGTTGATAATCCGGCTTGACTGGGTTGCTGTCAAGGAAAGGAACTTGACTTCTATTCGTGGGCCTTTGGCCTAACTTGGTCTAAGTTCCCTAGCAGCAGCCCAGTTCAGCATGCCTTTTCTCTTGCAGTGTCAAAGACACTTGGCGGGAACGAGTCGCAAAGTTGACTTAGATCTTCGATATTCCGTAGTCGTCCAAATGGAGATCAATGAAGTGGCTATGGAGCGGGTTTGGGATTTAAGGGTTTAGGGTTTCGACAGACTTTGTAAATTGTACAGACTATCGTAACTACCGATATCTACAGAAGCATGATCACATGTGCAAACAGTCCCGTGCCTGAGCCATTGAGGACCGTGCGCTCAGCAAAGTTTGAGGTTGAGAGAGATGTTAAGTAAGTCTGACCAAATTGTGCCTGCAGAAACACTAATCAGGCATTCCTCGTAAAGGTGGCTCATTGCTAGAAACAAGGACCTGCCCCGCATGGATGTTGTGAGGAGAGGTGAGGAAGGGTGAAAACCGGCTTACAATGGTCTCCCCAGGAGTTGGGACGCCCGGAAAGCAGTATTGCTCAGTGGTTGCAATTTCCGATCATCATCTGCAGTTCCACTCGCGGAGGTGTAGCTGAACCCGGCCATGCGCAGAAAGCAGAATTACACATGGAACATTCAACCTTGTCAGAAACAAGAGATGCATGATAGCAGCAACGCCAAGATGCTAATGTCAATCGGACTACCTGATGCTCCTATCAGAAATCCAGAAATCCAAGTTTGGACTGTTTTGATGCAGTTGAGCAGCGCCTTGTGATGTTCATGGCGCTTGATTGAAGTATTGGCAGGGCAGTGAGCTGACGGACAGTCAGCAGGCACATGCTGATAGCACTTGCTGAGACTGGCCATGCTTCCATGCAAGTCCAAATATGCTTGAACATCTTGGAACTAAGACCTCAAGCCATGGTAGGGCAAAGGGAAATACGAGGAACAAGCCTGCGCCTTGAGAGCAGGACATGTGGACTTTCGGCTCAAGTCGCAATCACACAGCAGCTCAAAGCAGCCCAGAAGACATCTTTAGTCCAAAAGCCTGGACCTCATTGAAATCCACTGTAGTTAGCAAAGCAGACGAGCTGATTCAAAGGCTTGCAGGGGTATGGTTTGTGCTCGGAGCACTTGTGAGAGGCCAGGTGTTGCACATGCCTGCAGTTATGTGCCATGTAATCACCTGACTTGCCACAGCCCGCTCCGTTTGCTTCACGGTTGGCCTGGCTCAAGTCAACAAGTGTAGCACTTCGGGATCGTCTTCAGCGCAAGCCGGCGAAGCAGATTTCAGGCCGCTGTCTTTCTCACAGTTTAGCTTGCAGTCATGCTTCAGTAACTGGGGCCTCAGATGTAGCCCGCCTCCATACATAAGCCTGCTTCCAATGAGCAAAGCTCGGCATTTCAGTGCTTGCAGGAACTTGCAATCATGCCCATAATCACGCATCTTCCACTGTTGCCTCCAAGTGAATTAGGATGGCTTGCTTCAAGCGAGGTCATGGTGGTACAGATTAGCATTCTCGACAGCTCCGAGTTTGATGGGACGACTTGGCGACCCGGCTGTTGTTGCACATCTGATTATCTGGTTGGTCATGAGCCAGATGTCCAAGCAAAGGCTCTCTAAGGGTTATTTTTGCGCGTCCAGCACTTTTGCCCACTAGCGCGAAGCGTTCCTCGTACATCTTGTGAGATCCTCATGCAAGGGCAGCTTCTTGAGCGTCCAGCTGTCCTCTCGAGGTACAGCATTCGGGTGGTTGAGGACCTCCGAGAGTGGCTTTGCAAGAAGCGGTACAGCCAGTTCCTCGAACTAGATGCCATGCTTGCCACTCTTCCTATCCAACGCCTGCCATTGCCACCGAAGGGTACCGTTGGTCTCCGGAAGATGCTGAACCTTGGCAACTTCAATCAGGAGCGGCTGCAAGGACTCGCGAGATATCTCAGCCACCTCGCCAGCCAGATTCAGAGCCTTTCGCAGGTGCCCGCGCTTGGCCAATTTCTTTCTCCAGCACCCTTGGGGCAGCCGCTTGCAGTACCCACCCAGGGTGTGGCAGTGGCTTCACCAATTCAACCTGTGGCAGTCGCCCAACCAATGCCTGGCACCGCTGCTGTCATCGTATCAGCTAACCCTGCCCCAACACTTCAGGCCCAGCAAGCATTGCAGCAATCGCACCCAGTGGCTGCGCCAGTGGCTGTGCCAGTGGCAGGTACACCGGTGGTAGGGGTGGCCGTGGCTTCACCATACCCAGCCACACCTTACGCAGCTACCGCAGCACCTGTGCCTGCGCAGCCATACCCCCAGCAAGGCTATCCTGTGCAAGCAAGCCCAGCCCCAACCAGTGGAGGAGGCGGCGGCTTTGGGATGTTGGGCGCAGGGGCCGCAGGGGCAATGGCAGGCGTTCTTGCTGGTGTCGCAGGAGCTGCCATGATGCATGGCTCTAGCCATTCTTCGCATCAGGACTTTTGTTGCAAGTGCGAGGGACGCGGCTTCCGGCACAACTCGACCATGAACCATGATGAGCGCCCAGACAAGCGCTGCTTCTTCTGCGAGGATTGCGATGCCTGCAGGGGCAGAGGCAGCATGAGGTACGACAGTCCGCCACATCATCATCATGGGCATCACCATCACCACCATCATCGCCGCTTTGCTGCCAAATTAAAGAAACAATTCTCACAGTGGCGAATAGCATGCTAAGTCAGACTGACTCCCTCAGCCTGATTCCGTAGCCGGAAGCTGCAGAGGCCACGATGGCTTCATTGAGTCCTTTGGAATGACGGGGTTTGGAGCGCGCCAGCAATGCTTCAAATGCGAGGGCAAGGGCTTCTTCCATGACTCAAGTGGCTCGTCCAAAGATGCAGATGCCCTTTGCGCTTGCAGTCAAGTTCTCCGCTACCGTTGATTTCTGTCCTACAGACCAGATTCTGCTCAGACATGACTCATGATGCAGGGCCAGACGGACGCTGCTTCTTCTGCAAGGACAAGTGGTGAAGGGCATAAAGCTATACGGGTTTGTGCCTCAGAGAAAACCTTTCCCTGTGTAGTGGTGATCCATTCCTTTGGAGATAGAATTTTGTAGGAATACCTTCATGGTTCATGATCTAGAATTGTGGTGCATTGTGCATCGAATGACACAATAAAGGAAGCCTGGAGATTCAAGTGGCCCAAAATGTCGCAAAATGTGAAAGCTTCCAAGATTGCACGGAGTGTGCTCGTCCTCCCCGTGCTCTATGATTCCTTGCAGAATCTGTTGCCGGAGGATTGCTCTGGGTGCAAAGGCAAGGGCCACATAGAGGGCGCGACTCCATGGTCCAAGCATGGCCAGATGTGCGCCCGGGAAGCATTCTAGTATGATTCTACTTCTGTCAAGTAGGTACCCAGAAAAGGAGATTCCTTGTAAGTGGGAGCCTCCTGTGCCTTCTTGGTACGCTTGAGGCTCACATTGTCATGGGCACGGCTTCGTCCATGAGTCGTCTATGAACCATGACAAGGCAACGTACGGTGAAGATCGAGCGCAGGGCTTCAAAGCATGTCAAAGGTGAATGTGCATCAAGCCTAGCCATGACAGCATCATTCCGGCAATTGATGTCATCACCAAGCAGAGAGAGCCAAAAGGATAATTAGTAATAATTAGAACGTGCAGTGCGAACCTCTGCCTGCATCTTGCTGGTGACGCTTCTGTTGTTGTCAGGCTCGCGATCAGAAGTGCTTCTTCTGCAAAGACTGCAGGAAGTGTCACGGGAAGGGACACCTGTAGACTCTCCAGTCACCTACAGCTACTCAGTTTGTGGGTCCAACTTTGATTGGCGCCATCCAACCAGCATCACGCCTGCCAACTACTTGCATGTAGAAAAGAACTTTTGGAGTAGTGTTAGTTTACAGTGATACCCCGCAAGAAGAAACCCTGAATTTGCTGAACCCCGGTATGACAAGCTGTTTTGTTTACAGGAGGATTTGGCGAGGGACCGGCAGTTTTGCTTAGCCTGAGATTCCGTAGCACCTGCACGTCTCAAATGAGCAGAGTGGCAGATGTTCAAAGGATGCCAGTGGGGTAAGGCAGTCTCATTCCCAATGATATTTGGATGTATTCAGCAGACTGACTGGAGGTGTCACACTACGTCGTGTAACGCTCAAAACGTAAGTCGTTTCCCGTGTGCGTCTACACGGAGCGCACGTTGGATGCTTGGATGCCAATTGGGCATCCGAGCCATCTCAATTCCTCAGCACTAAGCTTTTTGGAGAGCTGGGCTGCCATTTTCAGGCAGGAGTAATGTTAGTAGTGCTTCCTTCGCCCTCTCCCAGTTGAAAGCCATCTGCAGTCGTTCTAGGGCTTTAAAGCCTGTATGATTAGGACCGGACCCAAGTCCGCGGAGTTCAGCAGCGAGGCTGTACATACCCAGGATACCTTCAGCACACTTTTGAGCCAGAATATCCTTTTTCGCCTGGGTACAAAGACTAACATGGAAAGCTTGAATCGCTGCAACTTGTTTTGCTGGTGCAGACTGTCGACAAGGGGCCGGCAGACTGCTCTTCCTAGGTTTGCGAGTGGGTTGACGTTGAGGGTCCAAGAGGTATCCGCTCTTGCGGCGCACTGGTTTTCTTGCAGATTAATGAAAACGATTTCCACAATTCATGCTTTGGCCTTTGGGGCTTGCGCCAACCTCATGTAAGATGCACCGCCTGGCTGTTTGCTCAAAGGCAGCACTCTGGTGGATGAGCTGTACAGATGGCACGATAACACGCGGCCCAAAAAGACTGAGTTTACTGGTGCAACAAGATTGGTCCCACGTCGATCTTGTGCGTTGCACGGAGTTCAAAATCACAAAACCATGGCCAAGCTCAGCAACAGAACAACATTGTGTGGGTAGCCAATCGCTTGACACTGCTCTCTAGCAAAACACTTGGAAGGTGCTTGTGATGGGCTAGGTGAGTTTGTGCCGTAGTGTCGCATGACTTGCTGGCCTGTGCCGCATCCGGCGTCGCAGCCATGACCCCTAGCCGCACGCAGCTCAAGCAAGAGTCATCAAACCAGCCATGGCTTTGGGTCGACCCACGGCATCCTTCGATGATGGCAGTGCGGGCTGTAGGTTTCAGGACTCGGGCCTCGCATGCTGAGAATGAGGGACTGCCGCAGATACATGTTGGGCCTGATTTCTCATGGGGTGCTCGCCCTGCAGGACTTGGCAAACACACAAGTTCTGAATGTTGCACTGGGGTTCCATTCCTGCAGCAGAGCACTTTCTGCACAGAGGATGCATCCACACGCGTTACCTTCCTCCCATGTGCGGTGTCCATGCCTTCTCTTAACCCCTACCCAGGCGCAGACTCAAGGAAGCATGGCCAGGCATGAATAAAGATGTAGGCAACAGAACGCAAGTTGCACTCCGAGGTTTTGCAATGGAGCTGCACTGGTCCCTCTGCGTCCTGTGAACCGAAGCTTGGCCGAGGCACCTCAACTGTCATGAGTCATATCATTAAAGGGGTGATGCCCCTGAAGCCGATTTTTCAAAACACGTCCCGGCCCTTTGAAGCAGACCTGCAGAGGCGCTGCCTTCCTCTTCGCCTGTGTGGCAGGACCTTTTGAGGCGACTCGCGGATCCTGACGCTCAAATAGACGTTGTCACGCGGCGTTTAGCTTCAAGCGTTGTAGGAGAAGACGAAAGAGAGAGTGATCAAAAGCAAAAGAGATTCCTCGTACTTGATTGCCACTCTGAAGGCACAGCTCAGTCTGGCTGCAGGGGAAGGCGCCTGCCATGCACAAAGCTCGGCGTTTGGGTCTTCTGCACCTTGCCTTGGCTAGAATTGCTGTTTGGCTGCCACTTGCCCTACATCCAGTGTGTAAAGACTCCAAATCTGGGTGGGATCAAATCTGGGTCCTACAGGTTTTTTGGGTGGAGCTGTTCATGCTCATAACGCGCAGGGCTCATCTTGCCAGCTGAGAGGACGTCTAGAGGACGCCTCCTTCCGATTTCCAGGATAAAGATCTGATCTTGGAGACATTGCCACATATGTTGAGGCCTTGTCTATTGGGCAGAATTAACGCACTTCCAACAGGTCCTGCTCTTGGAACAGGCCTGAGGGCTGTCATCATAAACTTCACCGAAAGAAGCCTTCAAGACCAGGCTCCGCCTGTTTAAGCTCGAAGCCTAGAAAGCCTGCCCATGACGGTTTCACATTGAGCGGCCATGCCGGATGGAAGAGGATGAGGTATGCTCAGCTAAGGTCAGAAAGATCTAAAGTGCTGCATGAAGCTAACATCCAGAGCGAGATGCCTTTCCTGGCGCCGGTTAGCATCACAGCCTGAATGCCACTTTCGCTTGGTGTCCTACTACTGTACTACTGCTTCTGCTTTTGATTTTGCTTCTGCTGCTGCTACTGCTACTGCTACTGCTATTGCTACTGCTGCTACTACTACTGCTGCTACTGCTACTACCACTGCTGCTGCTGCTACTACTACTACTACTACGACGACGACGACCACCACCACCA